TGCCTGTGCACCTGCTTGTGAGAACCAGCCTTCGAATTTGGATCCTTGTACTTTGAGCTCCTGAACCGTGTACTCAAGTTGCTGGAGTCTGGCGTCAGAGCTTCCGGGTTGCTGGTTGGCAGTGGTATCATCTGATTGTAGTTCGTCACGAACAGCTGTCGTGATGGATTGCTTGAGCTGGGCTTCAAGCTGATTGAGCTTTGTCCCGATGCCAGAAGAGAGAGACGGGGGAGCAAGGCCTGGTGGTTTGGCCCAAGGGTCAAAGCCAACGGTCCAGGGGTCGACTGAAGCTGTGGCAGCACTTGAGGTGGCAAGGTCAGGCTTGGCCCCCTGGATGTGCTGACGCGTCTTGCCGGAAGCGCATATGTTCGGCCCTGCTTGGACGTGGGCACCAACTTCACGGATTTTTGTGGCAAGAACATCCCCGTTTGGGCCAGGGAGCACCTGTGTTGGTGGAGGTGTGTCTGTGCCGATCTCCCAAGAGCACCCCTCAGAGGACCCTTTGCCGGATTGAAGTGGCTTAGCAGCCCACTTCCATTCCCGGAGGAGTGCTGTGACTCCGGCCCGTTGTGTGCCGTGAGGTAGTGGGAAGAGCCGATAAATCGTGGTAACCTTCGCCTTGACAAATGCTTGGCCGGGCCTGAGGTGGGCAAAGGCTTGTTCCTCATCAGTGTCTTTGACTCGGATGCTGTAGCGAAGGCCGAGGCGAGCGATGCTGACTGTTTTGTCACAGGTGCGGGCCCGGTGTTTCACCTCCTCAAGAGTAAGGCCAGGGAGCCAAATGATGGCGTGGTGGTTGTCTGTGCGGCGGCCATCAAGGCTCCGAGGCTCAAGATAGATGCCGCTAGTTCCAGATTGTCTGTGCATCTGAGTGATGGCACTTGCAGGGATCCTCAGTAGCACTTGGAAGACCTCGGCAGTTGCCGGAGTACATCTCCCACCATCAAGTTTTTGGAACTGTCTGCTCCAGACATCAAGAAGAACCTGGTTGACGGATTCTTCAACGGCCGGGTGGAACTTGGGACACGTGGCGTTGCACGAGGATTCGGTGCAGAGTTGAAATTGTGGGACGGATCGTATGAGGGTCCGGTCAGGTGACTCAAGGAGCTCGGTCCATCCTGCCCCAAACTCGTCGCGGTAGACCGAGGCACGAATGATGATGGTGTCAATGAGCTCAAATGTGGTGCAGGCATCAGGCTGGTTGCGTTGGATGTTGTTGTCCCCGAGTTGTATCAGAGAGCCCGATACAAGAACGGGTTCGTTTGTGCCTCCGTAGATAGCTGAGTAGCGCAGATTTTCGCAGGGAAGGAGGCCAACAAGGTCATGTGGGACCTCGGAGGTAGTCAGTAGGCCGAGTGCGTCGATTGAGATGGACTCGCCATCCCTGAGAAATGGCATCGCGTCTTTCAGACTCGCGATGGCTATGCCTCTGGTGTTGGTGCTGAGCTGCTCAAAGGAAATCTGGGTGACATCTACTCCGTCTGTGTCGACGAATTGATTCCCAAGTGTCAGTTGGTGTGGAGGTACCTCAAGAGATACCGGGCCTTTTGGTCGATTGCTGGATGTGGCCTTTTTGTGCTTGGCGCTTTGGATCGCTGCACCATGTTGCGTCGTTGCCCGGACTTGGATGTAGTTATTGAGCTCATCTGGCTTGACAAGCCGGAAAGATGTTGCCGGCCGTGATGCCGCGGCTTTCAGTGCCTGCCATTGATTTTTGGCTGTGAGTGTTTGCTTGATTTGTTGTTGCCCAAGCTTGTCAATAGCGGCTTTCGCTCTGTCGAGCGCAGCCGAGGAGGGAACTCCCTTGCTGATAAGGAGTGCAGAGAGATGCTGTTCCTGGTCAGAGTTGTCGTTGCCAAAGGCGTAGATTGGCTGCCTGGTTGGTACGGAGATGTCAAGGAAGAGTGAGTGAGCAGCCTGAATGTGATCAGGGTTGAAAGGTGACAGGTTGCAGTAGAAGGAGACGAGGTTGACAATAGCAACGGTGCCACACGAGTTGGAGTCAGGTTGATGGCAAAGTGTGAGTTGTTTGAGAGAATCGAGATGTGATCCTCGCAGCTGACATATGTTGCTAGCAAGCTGCCATGCCTGCTGTGTGAGGCTATGGCCATTACCGTCAAGGTAGATCCCAGTTGTGTGTGCGCCGTTGTGCTGCAGGATGAGCGTGGCCCAGTGTCCATTTGCCGAAAAAATGGCAGCTGTTGAGCTGGCCGACCTGTTGAAATCCGGCATCCCCTGCCAAGGTTCATCTCCAGTGGGATGAAGACATAGCAGTGATGCGGTCCTTGGCTCAAGAATGAGAATGTCGTTCCCAAAGCTTGGCAGAAGGACGTGAAGGATAGCCGAGATTTGTCCGTCGTGGAGCCCTTTGTTGCTGCAGGGACCAGCCCCTGAGATGGTTCCTCTCAGGTCGATTGTGACAGGCCCCCAAATCCGTGAGTCGAGCCGAGTCAGTGTGCGTGCTGGAAGGGTGACAACCGGGGTGTTGTCGTGGTGCCCTCTGCTGCGGACAATCTCGAAGAGAAAGGTGCCCGGTCTGACTGAGATGATGGAGATCTTGTCAAGACTGACAAGTGTGACAACGAAGGTGTTGGTTGGCTGTGGGATTGCTTGTCTCTTGGAAATGGCTGCAAGCTTATAAGCATGCGTGTCATCCGAGTGTAGTAGCGCTGCAGGTGCGAGCAGGCGGTTCTTGTGGAAGAGCCGGTAGGAAAATCCCCATTCACTGGAGATTTGGTTTGCCTCAAGCAGCTGCGAGGTCCTGATTGGTGATTGTACAGTGAGTTGTGTGGTGGAGCCATCATCATGAGTGATGGCAAGCTGCCGAGGGATGTGCATTTCCGGCAGCACCCAGTGGTCGTCCCTGGTGTTGATGAGGAGCTCCTTGAACCGATCGAGGGCAACGATCGGCGGTGTTGTAGCTCCATGTAGCCAGCATGCCAGATGGGCTGCGACCCAGACGACTTGGAGAGGGGCAGCGATTTGCCCGACCAGGCACAACGCTCCTCGTTGGTTGGGAAGGTAGTGGTACGTGGCTGGAATCGTGTTGAGGAGTCCGGCCTCTTGAGGATGGAGAAACCTCGACCGATGGGGGTCCTTGGATGATACTCCGAATCCACGTAGGCCTCCAGAAAGGAGGCGAGTCTCCCCAAATCGGGATGATCGGCATCCGCACGGACAGGGTTGCAAGGGGACCCCCCACGAATGCAGGGCGGTCGGTGCGGGTTGTTCCGTGTCAAGAGTTCTCCGGTCGTGCCCGTATGTGGGACAGTCGTAGTAGGATTTCTCCAGGTCACTCCAGCGAAGTTGGATGTCGTGGTCGTCGGGCCAGATTGGCCAGGTTGGGATAACATCAGAGACCTTGTGAAAGGTGTTGTCCCGAGGCCAGGACAGGATCGAGTGGTGGTCGTGATCATTTGGGAGTAGAATCCCAAACCAACGGTGCCGGCGTGAGGCCCATTGGTCTTGCAGGTCAAGCGTCAGGGTCTTGAAGCACATGTTTGTTGCTGCTGCAAATTGCCGAATGGACTCAATGATGCATGGATAGTTGAGCACGCTGGCCACGCACTCAAGAACCAATCCATAGCATTCGGTGAGCCATGCTGCTCGTAGTACGTGGGCCAGTGTTTTGCTTCTGGGGTCGGCTGTGCCTCGTTTGTCTCCCTGTTTAGAGAATGGTTGGCACGGAAATCCTGCAGTGAGAAGGAAAGGGCGTCCAGGCTCGGTGTCCTGGAGGTCAGCGAGTGTGGAGGAGAGTTGGATGTCTGCGCATCGAACCATAGCCTTTGTGTTTGCTTGCAAAGACTGGCAGGCAAGTGGACTGTGATCGGCGAATGCGGCGGGGTTGAAGCCACAGAAGGCGAAGCCGAGGCTAAACCCTCCCATACCCGCGCAAAGCTCTTTGACGAGAGCCGGGGGTCCCAAGGAATCCCTAGCCCCCAGCGAGAACCGTGAATTGCTTCCCAGGCTCCAAACCGGCAGAATCCCATCTGAGTCCTCGCAGAGGATATCATAGAGGGTCCAAATACCTGGTATAAAGGCCGTTGAACCTAACAGCACGAAGTCCTGAGGCGGACTCAGGCCTCGAAAAAGGGAGCCACCCGAATGCGGCTCCAAAAAAGAGGCCACCAAAGAGACCACCGTGCCCGGTGGCACTTGGTCCAGCCGAGGATCCATGGCTATGACTGTGCCCCTACCTTCTGTTGCTAGCAGCTTCACCTCTGGCAGGCGTAGGGCCGAAAGCTACCACGAAACACTAAAAGGCTAAAGAGGCTAAGGAACCGGATGGCTGGGAGCCACCAAGTGTTTCCTGTCCTCGAAATGGGGACCCCGTGCCTTGAGAAACCGCCAAATTTCCGCGTTTTCAAACAGCTCATTTGGGATACGTGTCAAGATATGACCCAAGATGATGAATTTACCTTTGGTTTCCCTGTAAACCACCCCGAAAATTGGGCGCGCACACACACACACACATATTTTTGGATACATTTGGAAGGAAGCAAACATGGAAACCAAACAAATCACAGGGGCTCCCCTCCCACTTTCGGCGCCATCTCAACCACTGGCAGATCGAAAGGATACGACCCCGAGATGTCTGCAAAGGAACCCACTCATGGCTGCCTTCCTTTTACAACAGCCGTAAAACACGCTCACAAGACACCCCATACGTTGACTTTGACAAGCCAAACATCCGATCAGAACACTGGGCCCAGCTCAGAGTTGCGGCGCGTGCGCTTGCCTCTCGGTAGGGCCCGATCAAGTCGCATCAACTTCCCACAAGCCCAAGGTCATTGCGTGGGATCCCAACAGTGGCAACCTCTTGCCCAACTTCCCTTAGCTTTCTTCATGTACAGGAAACTTGAGGAAAATCTTATACACAATTAGAAAGGAAAGAGTCATAGGTTTCATGGTTTTCATGGATTTCCAGGACCCCCCTCCCCCTTTCCTTTCTGGGCCCGACTCTTTTTCACCGCTTTTCCTAGGCCCCCTAGGGCTCTGGCAGGCCGGCCCTTCTTGTCGACGCCCACCTCAAGGCCAAGGCTTTCGGTTTGAGCGCGACCAGGGGTCTGCCGGGCCAGCAAACTCGCAAGCCTTACTTTTAGGCTGGAATTAGGACCCCAGCAAGAAAATATATGTTTGCCTGGTTAGCGGAAAACAAAGGGGACCCCAAAAAAGCAAAAGCAAAAACAAAGGACTTGAGTCACAATCAAAACCTGGTACAAAAATGGTGAACCCAAAACCATGCTTCGAGAATTAAGAAGGCGGCCGCAACTATTTCCGGCTGGGACTGCCCCTCAGTAACCTTCATCTACACGGGTTTTGATTGTGGCTCACTTGTCATGGTTCGCCCGGCCATTGAACCAACGTTAGCGCTGCTGAAATGGGACGTGGCTTATGATGTTCAACCCTCAAACTTGGATCCCCAGGTACATGATGTCCTCATACGCTGTAAAATAAGCAAAAAAAAGCGCCAACTCAATGCAATACATACACATGTTGTTGGCATGGCACACGAGGCCCGCGAATGCCTAAGGCCTGGCATGGCACACGCTTGCACACAGAGCCACCCTAAGCGACTTGGCTCTATGTTTCTGCCCGCTAAAAGTGAGTCACTTTTAGTGGGTTAAATGGAAACTACCACTAAACACTGAAAGGCTAAAAAGTTAAGCAACCGGATGGCTGGGAGCCACCAAGGTTATATTGGGGAACACCTTCGCACATGTATGGTGGACGCAATTGCCCCAGGTGGCTGAAACAGCTGTTCCCAGATTCCCTGCAAAAGGTCCATTTTTTGGGTTTAGTGGAAACTTGGAAACTACCACTAAACCCTGAAAACCGAAAAACCCAAAAGGATGGCTGGGAACCACCCAGAAAAACTGAGTGGACACAAATACCCATGTTGTGAATTTTCACAGACAACCTTTAGGTGGGGGGTACACATCCACCAACCACTATTTGTTTTTGGCTGTTCCAACTCTGAAAATTCATAGCCACATAGGCTGGCTCGCCTTCTTTTTAGGACTACCCCAGCCAAAAAGAATGGTGCAACAAAACTTGGACGGGCAAGCTCATGAATTCGATTCACTGCATTCCAGCCAAAAGCGGTGCCAAACAGTGAATTACTCCACCTAGAAATGAACAGCGGGAGTTCAAAAAAGGGGTCCCGCAAAGGGTGAAATTCCGCTAAAAATTGGGGAGGTCCATGTAGAATCTGTGGGGAGCACAATGCTTTGCCAGACTGACTTGACAGGGCAACATACTTAGGTATGCACCTTAAGCACTCATTAATTAGACTGGACGATTCGCTCAGTAACACTGTTCTCCAGCCCAAACTGGGTGAAGCTGCGGAGAAAGATTGCCAAAACATCACCCGGCACTCTTACTTTACGACCATTGGCTTATCTGAATTCGCACGAAAAGAAGCTGCCCGTTTTCTTTGGGTGGAGTTCAACTGGAATCCATGCAACACAAGGAAGGGATAATCAAATCGGCTATGAGACTCAACCCCTGAAAGGTTTATGACCATCACTCCGACTTCACCCAACACCCTCTCGCTTCATCGAAAAGCTCGAGTTTTCGCCCAACTTTCTCAAGATGAACATCCAGACGCATACTGTTCGTCTTAAAAACAGTGGATCAACCCCAATGGATTTCGTATCAGGCACGTCCGTGGAACCCAAACCACGTCTTCAAATGAAGCGGCAACAAATTTGCAAATTGGAAACCTGTGGAGTAAGAAAAAGTTGTCCAAATCAATCGGAGGCTCCAACTTCCTGAAACACTGATCCAGACTCCAGACTCCTCCAGTCCTCCTATGAGCTAAAGAAAAAACACAAAAAACCTCTTCTCGTTAGGGCATGATGTCGACCCCTGACAAACAAATGTACTGTTTACCATATGAAAAACATGTTTTTGCCACAAGTCAGCTTGCTTCTATTTGCTTTTTCCCCCCTGGAAAAACAACATGTCCAGCAGAGATAGATTCCATTGAAAACCATCAGGGGAACGAATTGAAATATTCTGAAACGCAAGTGCAAGCTTGCTGGGAAGGGACAATGATTCAAAAGGCAAAAGTTCAAAGGCACGAACACGTAAACTCACCAGAGAAAACCCTAAACCCTAAGAACGCGGATCAGCGAACCCTACCCTGATTGTTCTTTGTTTTTCAGGAGGGGTTCTAGAAACTGATATTTTCTGACTTTTTCCCATACACTAAAATGTGTTTCATGGCTGAGACGGTCTGGGGAGATGTTGTCTGACTCGTTTTGTTTTGGCGACCCACCAAAATGGCTGTCTTTGTCGGATGGCCGTTTTTGGGTTGTCCCATGCCCAAAATCCTCTGGGTACCGTCCAAAAGGCAGATGCTGGTACCCTTCAAAAACATTACTCCCCTAGACCCCCCCCAAAAAAAAACGAGCCATCTTGATGGGTTCCCCAAACGACAGCGAGTCATTCTGAGTGTAGCTTGGGGGATAGCAGCCTGTTGGGTTTCTAAAGGGAAGCCTTTTTCGGGGCTCGAACCCCCGGTTCACACGACGGATCTCGGATCGAGCCGAGGCGCGATGCGCAGGTTGTGGCTCCGCGGGTCTGCGCTGCAGGCCTGGCACTTCGCCTTCTCCGGGCGCTCCTTCTGGCGCCACCTCAAAGCGCTCCGCCATCACAACGCGTGTCCTACAAAATAAGGGGAACAAAAGGACGAGTTTCCCTTCAAACCAACGACAAAACGGGTATATTCACAACACACACACACACACACACACGCCTTCCATTTGCTTGTTCCAGTCCCGCGGAAAACATGAGAAAATATGTCCAGTAGCCATAGCATGAGAACATAGAAAATAGGAAGCCAAATGAAAGCCTCCGAGCATAGCACCCGGCTACATCGAAGATCAGTTTTCACTGGCGCCCCCTGCCAGGAAACCAAAAAGCGATGCCCACCGACCGTGGAAAAGCAAGGCGCGCCTTTCTTTTTGGAATGGGACCCCCCAAAATGGAATGAGGTCTTCCTTCTGGTTTCCCCCTAAAACAAGAACAGGGGCCCCCTCGAAAAAAAAGAAGGCCAAGCCGTGCCCACATGGAAGCACCCGTCGATGGCGTTCAACCTGACTCAAACCCGTGGCAGCCGGTTTCGCCGGGCAGCCGCAGAGTGGCGGCCAGCGCATTGGCCGCGGCGGCTTCGTCGCCGTTGCAGGCTCGAAGGTAGCCTCGGGTTCGATTTTGGTTCGCGCTGGAGATGTGGCTGTGGTAAATGGAAGCAACAAAAAAAAAACTGCGGGTTTCCAAGATCTGGGCGCGGCTTTGTTTGAGGATACCCTGGTTTGGGTCGGCTTGGGAAACCAAACAAAAAACACCATTTTTGTTTGCGTCCCCTTCTTTAGTTCGGGTGGGGAAACATGTTGAGAAACACAGCCCTATGAGTACTGTGATAAACCACCTACCACTTGCAGGATTCTGTCCATCCCCAAAAGGTGTCCCCCTTTTGGTGGCTCTTAAACAACTTTTTCTTTTGCCACTGTCAGATGAGTTTCCTTTGTTGGGTTGAGGTTCCCAAGCCCCTCCCAAAAGACTCCCCTTAAGAAGAAAGGCCTCAAAAAACGGCGAGGAACGACCAACTAATGACCTTCAACAAACCAAACGCAAGCGCTGTTGTCATGATTGCCTCAAGCAAGGGCTCTGATGTACACCGGTCAACAGATGTTCCCTTGATACCTCCAAAGCAAATACATACATATATACATATATTATATATTACATGTGCACATGTATCCATGGTATATCGCCGAAAAAACGAGTATCGCAGGGCTACGTTTTAAGTCATTCACATCTCGACCCGCCCGACAGGGCAGCTGGCTTAGCCAGGGCTTAGGAACCAAGAGGACACCCAAAACCCTGATCAATTTCAACCGGTTTCTGCTTATATAATCCCATCGATTTGAATGTGGAATGAACCATGCCTTCCATATCCCGTCTCAACATATTGGACATGGAACCCAGTTTGAAGTGCACGGCAACGGAAACCGACAGGTTGTGGACGCTTCTTTGACCCTCTCACATGGATCCGAAGAACGGAATCTGTGTGAGCAAATGCCTTCTTTATGGCTCTTTAAATTTAAAGTGCCATCCTCAATACTACCAACCTTCAAAAACACAAAGTTCAAGTAACACCATTCCACTCTTCACACCTGCAGACGTGAGCCATACAACAGAAACAAGATGGATGGGCTCCAAAGGAGTATGAACACGCGTGTGCAGGGTACGGATTCTGCAACCCCATCCTTTTTGCACCATCCTCTTCTGCCAAATAGGGTCCCCTAGATTTCCCCTCAAACATCACCCCACCACCAGGCAACTGATCTGAAATCGGCGTAAAGCCGAGACATGATGGGCAAAGCCAGCACTATCAATGGATTTTTTAGGCCTGGGGGGGTTTTGGCCTAAATACCACATCATACCACTTATAGGGGCATATAAGTACATTCTGCCCTGCAAGCCCATGTTGGTTCTTTCAGCTTCCATACCTCCAAAACCCACACCTGCCATGCAAGCCAACGGGGATCCGAGTCGGACCTCTCCTCGAAGACTTGTCGGACCGCGACGATTCCGCGATGATTCCGTCCGCGCGATTTTTGCCGAGCGTCGCCGGACGTCGGCGAGGTTGACGGAACCGGCCTCGATTGGCAGGGAAATGGAATTGGGAGACAGGGGTGACCGCTGCACCACCCAAGAAGCCATGGTTGAAACCTTAACGTTTGCTGGTATTTACAGGGGAATCCGCAGAACCAAAGTTTTTTTCAAGGTGGTGCGAAATGGACTTCGCAACCGTCCACAGTTGTTCCATGTTCCCGTTTCATGGGAAGTCTTAGAGGAATGCAATTGGAGAACTCCCACCCCCTCCCCCTTGTGGGCTGATGATGCCTTATGGTAGGGGGGATCCAACTCATCCTCCAATCATCCAACCGGTGGCTTCCTCTAAGAGGACTGAGTTCATTCCCCAAACCCGGACTCGTTGTCATTCCTTGCCGAGAACCAGCTTGTTTTCTTCCAGAAAGAGTTTGGCGGGTTGCGACCCAAGTAACAGGCCAGTTCCCCGGTTCCTTTTAAGAGCGCTGCTCTTCCTCATGATATAAAACGATCTATGGCAATCTCTCGGTTTGAAAGCTCAAGGGTCGCAGAAAAGCTGAGTGGAAGGCTTCACAGGATTTGGCAAGACTCCTCCGCTGATCTTTCGGTTAAGTAGGTCCTCCAGTACAGAGGATAGAACAAGGGTACCGTTTTTTTTTTTCTGTAGTCTATTTTCGTAGGAGAACCCTCCCAACCAAAAAAGAAACGGTAAAAGGGCACCCATTGCTGGGCGACCTAGGAAGTATCTCAAAGTGCAGATGGCTTCAAGCCCCCAAAGCGAGTGCACATGTGAGCCATAGTCAAAACCCGGCACGAAAATGGTCGTAATCCCCAGACCCATGTAAAGAACTAAGAAGGGAAAAATATCCGCAGCTGTTTATGGTTGGGATCGTCCCTTACTAACCTTGACTTACCCGAGTTTTGATTGTGACTCATGTAGCTGTGGGTCAACAAGAGGTACCCAACATGGAACCTGGGCAAATGGAAACATGCACCTAACACCCTGCGGTTTCTACTGGCGGCGATTTTTGTTGAGCCACACCCAATGTGAGTTTGACGATATGTGGCGATCAGTAGGGACCTTCCGGCCCGGCCGCATGGCTCCCCTTGCCAAAAAAAATGTCTCCGAGACAAGTCCTTCAGAATTTTGCGCGCGACGGGTGGCGGGAGGGAAGGTCAACTTCATCCTTGGGAGATCTGTGAACGTATGAGTCTGAAACTCTATACCCGAATGCAGAAAACGTGACCAAACCTCTTATACTCTTATTGCTACAAAATAACGATAGAAGAAGGAAACGATCCGCCCAAGCAAAGGATCCGCCGTCTTTGAATCCTTCGAACTTTCCGCCCCAGCTGCTTTCTCCCCAGCCGCGCGCAGCTGCTTCAAAACGCGCGAAGCCGCGTCCATGGCTCTGGGACTGAAGGCAATTAGTCGGTGAAGCTGAGGCCACGGACGTATGCGGGCTGGGGTTCTGCGTTGTTTTAGATGTGTTCGCAGGTCGGCCGGAAAAGCGTGCACCCAATTCGCTTGGCTTGGCTGGTTCGATTTCAAGCCAGCTTTGCCAGCTTCAGCTGTAGGCAGCTTCTGATTTGGCCTAAACTGCACGCATGCGTGCCTGTCGCTTGATGGACCATGGATGGACAGCTCATGCCGCCTGTTCCCCTCTCCCATAGGCCAGGCTGCCTTTATAACCACCCCATTTGAGGGGTACCACCTAAAAAACACAAACCCTCATTCGCATTGGACTGTGGCAAATGTTGTAAATCGCAGAGGGCCTTGACTGAAATTCGGTCTTGGTGTCGAACAATTCGTTCAGCGGCATTCTGGTCATTTCGGCTTCGCTGGGACCTAAAACCCTCCCTGCGTCTGCGTGAGGTCCGACCGATCCCCTTGCGCGATTGGGCATGACCCAATCCCGAAACGTTGCCCCACGAGGAACTCGCCCAGGGAGATGTGGCTGGCACTTCTCATATCCACCCAAACATTACCCCAAAAATGGTCCCATGTTTCAAGCGGCAACCCGCCAATTCTTGATGTCCGACCGCCGAGTGAGAACGGCGGTCATGTTTTAAATGGCCAAAGCGTATATCTCTGAAGCCCTGTTTCGAACCACCCCTTCGCACCCCAAAGGCGCGTTTCACGGCTCCAACTGGATGTCGTGCATAGGTCTCCCGCCCTTGGGAACTCCGCCACTTGCCAAACCCCAGGCCTTTGAGGGTCAAACCCGAAACAGGATTCAAGCCGCCGCGGACTTGGATGCTTCGCTAATGAGGGGAAAGAAACGCAGGTTGATTGCCCCAGCCGCTCCAGCTCTTACTTTCGTAACGGCATGCACTGGAAGGCAGACTTCACCCATGTCCAGAGACGTCCCTTAAGTTTCAGCTTCAATCCGCGCGGATCGCACCTCAAACAAACCCAGCCCCGGCTCGCGGCTCGCGGCTCGCACTTTGTCTCTTTCCGGCCGCCTCGCCTCGCCGGAGCCGCCCGGCTCCAATGCGCGGAGGTTCTCCAAGCGGGCGAAGAGGCTCAGAGAGAGCTGCCACTGGGAGCCGCGCTCGCAGGCCATGACCCCCAGGCGGAACAAGGCCGCGTCGGCTTGGAAGGACTGCTGGCGCACGTCGCGCAGCAGCTGCAGCACCTGGTGGTTCTAGTACTAGTATTATCTGTTCGTCCGCTCCTGGTATCCATTATTTCCGCTCTTGTCTCTTTTCCGTTGTCAGTTTGAACACTTCCCGGTGGTTGCTTTCCAACATCTTTTTGAGGCTCGGGTACCCCCCCCTTTTTTGGGTGGGTTTCCCGGGCGGAAAACAAGCTGTGTTTCAGGCTCCGGGGCCCCTTCTTTGGGTGGGTTTCCTGGACTCCCATCCAAAACCAAAAC